TCCTGTGTACGAAGCTCAGGCTCAGATGCCCTGAAACATCAGTGAGAGGCCAAGAATAACTTCTGTCTTTACTTGAACTCCTTGCATTATCAAGGCTTTGGAGTTTAAAAAGTTGGAAAACATTAAACGGAAATCACTTAAAAGGCAATGTCCAAAGTGGCAGGTTTGATATCTACTGTAAGCTCTAGGGTGTGATGAAATGTTTTTAAAGGGATCACGAGTGTTTGAATCTGGACAACAAATGAAAAATAAATTTCAGGGATGCAGTGGACCATTTTGAGAAGCTTTAATTAATTGTACAAAGAATAGTAGAGCCACTGACAACATAGGAAATTTGGAAAAATGATCTATTTAGTGAGAGCCCTGTTGGAGTATGATTTGATATGAAGAAGGAAACGGGATCTAAGAACATTGTACTTTGCTTATAGGTTTTTCTACATGTAGTGGTTACAAATTGGGCTGCTAATCTCAGGGTCAGCAGTTCGAAACTACCAGCTGTTCCGCGGGAGAAAGATGAGGCTTTTTGCTCCCGTAAAGATTTACAGCCTCAGAAACCCTATGCAGGGTCGCTATGAGTCGGCACCGACTCCTCGGCACATAACAACAACAACAACAACAATGTGTCTTCACTGTTCACTGCCCCAGTTTCCCCAGACTTGAAACAATACTACTCTCATAAGGTTGTGGTTCTGATTAAAAACCTTAGTTTTTTTATTTTTAGCTAATAGATTTTCCTTTTTTCCTACACTTTCTCCTTTATTTCCTCCTTTTTCTTCCCTACTTGTCTTGGATCTTCTATGACTTTGTTGGAAATATGTAAAGGAATCTTATCAGTTCTGTTTAGGATTATCTTCTTTCCTCTGCTTAATTTTCCACCCTCTGTCAATTTGTAATATAACAATCTTCCCCACAGTAATTATTGTAATTCCCCAAGCGGAAACATTTAACTTCAGGTGAAAAAAAAAGTAGCAGCAGCTGATGAAGTTTAAACAATAAATATTTGTGTTTTATGCAGCTGCCACTGGTAATTAAGAGAAAGGAACAGTAAGTAGAATGGATCCTATCTTGCTTGATGAGCTGAGGGGAGGTCGCCCATTCTTGCTGCATTTACAAAGACTAGTAGCCATAATGAAACATTTTGTTCAATGACTGTGGCACATTGCCACCTTGTGGCTGTAAGTCTTCTCTTTTTATGCAAAGAACGATTTGTAATAGTAACCACAATAATATTTTCTACTTTCACTGATACGTGACCTTGTTCACAAACTCTTTGAGACACTTTACAAGGGTATGTATAAGACAGGAGGATTTTAGAGAAAGTCCTTGCTCTTAGGAGATGTGTGCTGAGTTATTTAGGGATGGAGAAAGAGCAATAGAAGGATCAAGAGAGAAGAGGCAGAGAAAGCAGTGTGGCAAAGATAAACCATTCCATTAGTAAAGGGCTTATGGGTGTTCATCAAACTATTCTGTAGTGATACTTTTCTGTTGTTCCAAATTTCCTTTTGAAATTTTCCAAAATCGAAAATCTTGGCAGGAAAAAATACAATGGAATAAGGACATACATGGCACTAATTAAAAGGCACAAAGACTCTTGTAATCACCTGACTCAGCTGATTTCATCACCTTCTAGTGGTTTATATGTAAGTGCCCAGATTTCTCTTATTATAATTAATTATCCATAAGACTTAAGGAATATATCTACGAATAGTCAGAAATACCTCTGGAGGTGCTCCTAAATAGCACACTGATGGAATAAACAGCGGCCACAAAAAATCCTTTACAGTAAGTACGACCCCTTATTTGAGAGGGCTGTTTCTTTAAAAATTTCAAACTGGAATCCCTTTTTCCTGTGGATCTAGTTTGATGTTAGGATACATAGCCTGCTAGATCATTGAGGACCTCTCCCTGAAATATGAGGGTAAGTAAAAAGTACTCCTTCAAAATCATAGAAACCTTTTATAAACAAAAATATCATAATGTGGAACTATTGTTTTTTTGACAGATCCTCCAGCTAAGTCTATACATTTTTTTACTTCCCATTGTGAATTAAGAGAGGGTTTACAGGACAGATCATCAGTTTTGCATTAAACAAATCACATACTTGCCTTCATTACAATGATTGCAATTCCCTCCATGTACCATCAGTTAGCAATATTTTACTTTTATTCGCTTTAACTCTTACCTCCCTCCCTGTCTGCCGTCACATTCATCTTTCCTCTGCCAAACTTTCTCTTATATATTACCTGCCTCTTCACCATGTTAACATGTTGACTAATTTAGATCTAGCCTGTGAATAATTTTACCTTCCTGCCTCCCAGTTAACCATCATAGAAAGTTTCTTTTATCAAGAAAACCTTTTCTTAACTTTTTATACCAGTGGTTTCAGACAATATTATTTTGTTATTTGGCTATTTTCACTAATCATAAAGTCCTCCAGGTTCATTCATATTGTGAGGTGTTTTGCATATTCATCATTATTCCTTAATGTTGCATTGTATTCCAATATATGTATGTACCAAAGACTGTTTAACCATTTTACACTTTCTCCATCTTTTTGATGGCTCTCTTGTAGTCAGCATATTGAAAAATCCTGTTTGTCTTGCCCATTCTGCTACTTTTTGAGTGGTACATCAGTTCATTTACATTCAGTATAATTATTAATAGGTAGAAATTGTTGTTAAGTGCCGTCGAGTCGGTTCCGACCCATGGCGGTATAGGATTTCCAAGGAGCAGTTGATGAGCTTGAACCACCAACCTAGCAGTTCAAAGTCCTTTGCAGTCTGGCGTATTAACCCACAGCGCCACACCAGGACTCAGGTAGAAGTTGATTGCTGTCATTTTGTTGTGTGTTTTTTGTTTGTTTTGCTTTGTGTGTGTGTGTGTGTGTGTGTGTGTGTGTGGTGCTGCTGGTGTCTTTGTTCCACATAGTTTTCTGCATTCAGTTCATTTTGTTTTTGGGTTTTCTTTCATTTTCATTTCTGTTATATTAATGTTTACTAAATCTTTCTGATTTTCCTTTTCCTTTTGATTTGATGGTGTATTAATTTATTTTCTTTGGTGTATAGCCATAGGATAAGCACTCAACTTCAAAGTCAGTTTGAACTGCAAGATAGTGGGTTCAAACTCACCAGTCACTCCTCAGAAACCCTATACAAAATCGTGATTAGTTAGAACCAACTCAATGGCACATAACAACAACAACAACAACCGATAATTTATTAAATTTTTTCTTTGCATGAAGCATTCTGTTTTATCTTGAAATCTACTTGACTTCCTTGTGATTTGGAAATTCTGTACCTACCTTTCTTTTTGCTTTATATTTGATTTCAATGCATTATTAATTGAATTCATCATTAATTCATAATTAATCAGTCCAGTAGGTTTGTTTTACTTTAAATACTTCCATATCTGAATTGAGTTCTGAGTGGGTTTTTTTCATGTATGTTAACCTAAGTTTTCTGTCTGCTATTGTTGATTCTCAGTCCAAAGAATACCCTTTAGTATTTTTCATAAAGTTAATCTTTTTTTGTGGTTGTCAGGTACCATCGAGTGGGTACCGACTCATAGCAACCCTATGCATAACAGAACGAAACATTGCCTGGTTCTGGGCCAACCTCACAATTGTTGCCACACTTAAGCTCATTGATGTTGCCGCTTTGCTAGTCCATTTCACTGGGTGTCTTTTTTTTCTCTGACCCTCCACCCTACCAAATATCATATCTTTCTCCAGCAACTGGTCCCTCTGGCACTATATCCAAAGTATGAGAGATGAAGTTTGGCCATCCTGGCCACCCAGGAACACTCTGGCTGCACTTCTTCCAACACAGATCTGTTTGTTCTTTTGGCAACCCGTGGTACTTTCAATATTCTCCTCCAACACCATAACTCAGATGCATCAATTTTTCTTGAATGTTTGATGATATGTGTATTTCTGTTCAGTCATTAATAACTACCTTGATATATGTGCATGTATGTGCACAGGACTCTTTTTGTCCTTGACAGCATTCTATTCACAGGATATGCATGTAGACTCTCTTAGAGATGAACATTTTAGAAAGTGTGGCCCAATTCTAGTGTGGAAAGGTTTTCTTATAAAAGAAGGGCAGATCTTCAAGGAAGTGTTATGACACCAGGCATTCTTTTGTGAAATACTATCTCTTGAAGTGGCTTTGGTGTCTCTGATTCTTTTGGCAGGCTTTCTTTTAAAAAGCCATATAACGATGTAGCAAGGTATTGATTTCCATTAAGGTCAGTGGTACCTAGAAATTTCCCTCCCTGACATACATTTGTAAGCACCAAAGGCTTGTGAATTTCCTTTTGTGAACAACTGGAGAAGAGATCCTTTGCTTCTTTATAGAGCAATATTCTTCAAAATATTTGAACTATGGTCCCAAAGAAAGATTTATATTTCTTTTTATACATGTGTACACATATATAATCAAATAAAAATATTAGTAAACCAATACTTCCCCTTCCTTCAGATGTTGTTTAGTGCCATTGAGTTGGTTCCAATTCACAGCAACTCTGTATTTGTTGTTGTTGTTACGTGCCTTCAAGTCTGTATATGGTTTCTGAAATTATAAATCTTTGCAGTAGCAGAAAGCCTCATTATTCTCCCTCAGAATGGCTGGTGAGCTCAAACTGCTGACCTTCTGGTCTACAGTCCAGGGCTTATCCTACAGAGTCACTACATCCCACCTACCTTCAGTGGATTCTAATAATTTCTATTGTGTTACATTCAAGAATACTGGACACTATCCATTAGTTTGATTTCATGCTCCACCAATGTGTTATGCCCAACAGTTTGACAAACCTTGCTGGTGAGATTTTGCAACAATGCAGATAGAAGACACAACAATGAAATCCTGAATTCTCTATGGTAACCAGATAAAAATCAGGCTGAGAGGGATTTAGAGAAATTAGAGAAAAGAAAGAAGAGTATCTTGGATTGTGCTAAAAAGTGTCCTCAACAAGTAATATCTCTGTTCTTCTCTCTGCAGCTCGATCACATCTTATCCCCTCCACCCATGCCTTTTCGGAAATGCAGCAACCCAGATGTGACTTCTGGCCCTGGAAAGTCGCTAAAGTTCAAAAGGCCACTGAGTGAGGATGGAAGACAGTTGCGGAGAGGGAGCCTGGGAGGAGCCCTGACTGGTGAGTTGGGCGTGACTTCCTGTAAGAGAAGAGATGGTGTTTCTTTTACAACTTTGGGAATGATGGTGGCGTTTCATGTGTTCCAGTTGGCCAACCTTAGAATGGACTTGCCTGTCTGTTGACTGTGTGAGTTCCTAGCCATTGAGTCAGTGCCCACTCATGGTGAGCCCCTGTGTGCAGAGTGGAACTGTTCCTTAGGCTTTGCCAGTCTGAGACCTTTTGGAAACAGATGACCAGATTTGTCTTCCAAGGCACTCTTAGACCAGTTTGAATTGCCTAGTAGTCAAACACTTAGCAGTTTAACCAGGTGCCTACCTCTTACCAGAAAAACAAAAACATAACAAATCTCATCCACATACTGGTTGGAGCAATCTATTCCAGTCTAGAAAATGGCTAAATCGAGGAAGTGTTTTTGTGTTTTTAATTTATAAACTTTATTTACACATGCAATGTACATGGGATAAATGTCATGTAAATGTACATTTTAATGGATTTTGACAAATTTATATGCCGGTATAAGCTATAGGAAGTTCTGATGTGGTGTTATTGGATTAACATTAGACTACTAGCTGCAAGGTCTGTGGTTCAAACCCACTAGCTGTTCCTTAGAAACCTTATACAGGGTCGCTCTGAGTTACAACCAACTCAGTGGCACTTAACAAAAACAACATGAGTTGGAACCAACTCGACAACACTAACAACAGCATTACCACCACTACAGCAGGATTTCAAAAGCTTTTTGAGTTCCTTACTAGTTATTAAGGAACCCTGGTGCACAGGGTGTTAAGCACTGAGTAGTTAACCTGAAGGTCTGAAATTTTAACCCACCAGACCAGCAGTTCCTCAGAATAAAGATGAAACTGTCATTTACAGCCTTAGAAACCCTGAGGAACACTTCTACTCTGTCCTGTAGAGCTGCGATGCGGTGGGCTTGGTTTTCCCAGTCACCACCTCCTCCCACCCCACCACTGCCATTCCCGTTTTTAACCTCAGGAAATCATGGATCTGCCTTCCATCATTATGGGTTAGTTTTATGTTTTTAAATGGAACAGTCCAGGGAGTCCTGGTGTGTGTGGCACTGTGGGCTAATGCTTCAGACTGCTAAGTTGTTTGAACTGCAAGGTCGGTAGTTCAAGCTCACCAGCTCCTTCTGGGAAACCCTATACAGGGTTGCTATGGGTCAGGGGCGACTTGATGGTACTTACCAGCAACAATAACAACATACATTCTATAACCTTAATATATTTACTTTTATATTGTATATATCAGTGGTGTCTGTTTAACTTTATAAGAAATTACTGTGCTGTTTTCCAAAATCACTGTACCATTTTATAGTCCCACCAGAGACTAGATGAATGGTCCAGTTGCTATATATTCTTACCAATATGTAGTATTGTCAGTCTTGACTTTTCCCCATTTTAATAAGGTAGTATCACACTATGGTTTTACTGTATATTTCCCTGGTGACAAAATAGATGTTGAAAATCTCTTCATGGCATGCATATATATCTCAGTTTGTAAAGTTAAAGTGTCTGTTCAAATCTTCCAATCACCTTTAAACTGCATTTTCTCAGTGAAATTAATTTTTCCTTTTTTAAAATCCCCAAACTTACAAATCACTTATACTAACTTGTAAAATAGCCAGCGTACTCAAAAGATTAGGTTAAATCATGGCTTAAAATATATCTGTATATATAAAACTCACCATTTAAAACTTCATGTTCTAAATCATAATGGTTTAGATTCTTATTATTTCATTTTTTGAGTCTCTCTATATAAATATTTTTGAAGGAACTTTATTGTGCTTTAAACACACGCTAACACAAAGCTGTTGCTGCATGCGATGGTTTTGTTTGCCAGTTTATAAATGATCGGGGAGAGAAATCATTTATCACATTTTTGGAAAAATCATGAATTTTGAGTTGTAGAAGATAGAGTTTGGAACACTTTGATGCAGTGTGGTGTACTTACTAGGAGCCCTCATTGCACATTGGGTTAAATATTGAACTGTAAGCAAATGATTATCAGTTCAAGCCCACTAGCTGCTCTCAAGGAGAAAGAAGCAGTCTGCTTCTATAAAGATCTGCAGTCTTGGAAACCCCAGGGAACAGTTCCCCTCTCCCATGTAGGGTGGGTAAGACTCAGAGTCAGTTCTAGGGCAGTGGATTTCAGTGGGTAGACACACTGCTGGATAGGAGGAGAAAACTGATTTCAGGACAAGAGGAAGAAGTTCATTAATAAGCTGCTATGCTTCACCGAGTTTAAGGCAAATGTTCACACTTTCATTGTTCTGATGCCCTTCAAACGCTTGTCTGGACATTTGTCTTTGCTTTCATCTTATAGAGAAGTCTGTTTGCTTTTCTAAATGGAAAGTCTACAGATTATTTAGTTTGACAGTTATAAGTGGAGAAATTAAAATTTTAACGTTGAAAGGCTTATGTATTGGTTTTTTTTTAACTTCACTTAGGAAATTTACTGATTAAACTCTTTCTGACCAACAGGTTGGGCAGTTAAGGTTGTCACCATTTTTGTTAAAAGCAGTTTAGGTAAAGCTTTAAAATAATGTAAACATAGAGCTCTTGATGCAGATATGTGTCCTGAAACATGAAATTCTTAACATTTAGTTTCAATTAAAAAAAAATAAACACTAGACTTGATATCCATTTTATTATCTTACCAGTGTTAGAAATTCTATCCTTTTATAATTAGCTTGCTGAACAATTATTTTAATTGATTAGATCTTTGGTCAGATAATTTTTAAAAGGTCTAATAGTTCTTGAAAGGAGCTCTGGTAGTGTAGTGGTTACGAGTTGGGCTGGTAACCTCAAGGTCAGCAGATTGAAACTACCAGCGGTTCCACAGGAGAAAAGTGAGGCTTTCTGCTTCTGTAAAGATTTACAGCTTCAGAAACCCTATGTAGGGTTTCTATGAGTCAGAACCAACTCTATGTCACACCAACACCACCATCACCAAAGATATACAGCCTCGGAAACCCTATACAGGATCACTATAAGTCAGAACTGACGCCACGGCACATAATCAACCAACCAATACTTCTTAAAGTCCTTTACAAATCTCTTGAATATCTGCTTGTTTTTAAACATTGTTGTTGTTGTCAGGTGCCATCGAGTCAGAACCGACTCATAGCGACCCCATGCACAGCAGAACGAAACAATGTCCGATCCTGGGCCAACCTCACTACCGCTGCCACACTTGAGTCCATCAATGATGCCACCTGGCCGATCCATCTCGTTGGGGGTCTTCCTCTTTTTCTCTGACCCTCCACCTTACCCAGCATGACATCCTTTTCCAATGATTGTTTCTTCTGGACAATATGTCCAAAGTAGGAGAGACGAAGCTTAGCCATCCTGGCCTCCAAGGAGCACTCTGGCTGCACTTCCTCCAAAACAGATCTATTGGTTCTTTTGGCAGCCCATGGCACTTTCAGTATTCTCCTCCAACCCCACAACTCAAAGGTATCTTAAACATAATTGCTTGAAAATATATTGGAAAAGAAGAAAACATTCTAAATTGTTCCTCTGGATAACTTTAAGTGCCGCTGAATCAGTTCCAACTCATAGCGACCCTGTATAAGGTTTCCAAAGAGCAGCTGGTGGGTTTGAACTGCCAACCTCATGGTTTGCCTAATAGTAGGTTTAGGCTAATTACTTTGCATGCATTGTATTACTTAATCCTCAGCTAAGGACTTCTGGTGTGGTGCTATAGAATCAGCACTGGCTTGCAACTAGTGGGTGCTTATAAACTCTATAAGGAGCTCTGGTAGTGTAGTGGTTACGATTTGGACTGCTAACCTCAAGGTCAGCAGTTTGAAACTACCAGCTGTTCCGCAGGAGAAAGATGAGGCTTTCTGTTCCCGTAAAGATATACAGCCTCTGAAACCCTGTACAGGGTCGCTGTGAGTAGGAACTGATTCCACGGCACACCACCACAACTATAAACTCTGTACAGGGTCTCTGTGAGTCGGAGCTGATTCCACGGCACACCACCACCACCATGAACCCCATATAGGGTCTCTGTGAGTCGGAGCTGATTCCACGGCACACCACCACCACCATAAACCCTGTACAGGGTCTCTGTGACTCGGAGCTGATTCCACAGCACACCACCACCACCATAAACCCTATACAAGGTTGCTAGGAGTTGGAACCAACTCATCAGCACTTAACAGCAACAACATTAGTATTGAATCCTGATGTGGTGCTGTAGGACAAGCACTGGACTGGTAACTAACTGAAGGGTTAGTAGTTCAAATCCACTAGCCATTTTTGGAAATCCTATACAGAGTCATTATGAGTTGGAACAGACTCACTAGCACACAACAACAGCATAAGTATTAGGAGCCCTGTACTACTAACCACAGTCCTGGTGTGGTGCTGTGGGTTAATGCATCAGACTGCAAAGCCGTTTGAATTGCAAGGTTGGTGGTTCAAGCTCACCAGCTGCTACTTGGAAACCCTATGCAGGGTCGCTATGGGTTGGAATTGGCTCGATGACACTTAACAACAACAACAACAACTAACCACAGGTCAGCAATTCAGATCCACCAGTGGTACCATGGGAGAAACTCCACTTCAAATCCACTGCTACTGAGCCAATTCTGACTCATAGTAACCCTGTATGGGGTTTCCAAGGAGCAGCTTTGAGTTTGAACCACTGACCTTATGGTTCAAACCTACTTTGCAGTCAAGTGCTTTATCCTATAGAACTCAGATATCATCTCACACTAGCACTAACAGTGAAGCTGAAAAACCCAGAAAACAACAAATTCTGGCAAGGGTGTGGTGAGACTCGTACCTTCCTACATTGCTGGTGGGACTTTAAATGGTTTGACCACTCTGGAAAATGGTATGGCTCTTCCTCAGAAAGTTGGAAATAGAAATACCATCTGTCCCAACAATCCCTCTACTTTGTATATATGTACAAGAAATATGAACCATGACATAAGTAGATATCTGCACACCAGTGTGCATCACAGCACT